TGCCATCAATGAACTACTGAAACCAAAAAAAAGGCCAATGTCTTCTACAAGGTTGAAGAAGGTAAAAAATAGCTAGTACTCTTTTTCTTCTGTTTTCAGGGAATTCTTCTGGGCTTAAGCTTTGATGGGTTGAATTTATTGTGATGCAGTTTTAGCCAATATAAAACAAACGAGAAACATATCCATAATTAGAAATATCCTGACAGTAGAATTAGGAAAGAAGGATAAAGCACTTACAGAAAAGTTTTTATACACAAAATGGTCAGGGTACTGAGAGTCGGACTGTCCAATTTCATTGGAGCACAAACACAATATATGAGTGACTCCTAAGTGTTCTAGTGTATAAATAGATCTTGCAGCCAAGGCCCCGCCAATGAACAACCTATCAGTGATTGAAGATGGCTTCTCTGTGTTTGCAGCCTCAGATATCAATCCTATCCTCTCAAGAATGTGCTCAAGCCTGACCTGTATGATTTATATGGAAACAAAAAGATATTCCCAAGGAAAAGAATTAAAGTCTGCAGAAATAAACACATTAAATACTCAACTACAGTAAAAGATATCAGAAATCTGCATGGTATTGCAGTGAAGAAGTTGAAGAGATATTACCTTCAGTTCATAAGCATCTACAACGCTGTGACTATCACTACCCTCAAAAAATCCAGAAATAAAATTGTTCTCTTGGCAGAGTTTAACCACATCATTTTTTAGCATTTCATTCCATTGTTCCAGTTCTTTACTTGATTCAGCATCAACCTGAGCACAATAATAACAAATTGATAAGACAATTGGTAGAAAAGTGCTAATGATTTGAAGGGGCGGTCATGTTTATTTCCTAAAATGAATCGGACCAAAAACTTCCAAACATGCTACAAACCATTTTTTCACGTCATCTGCTTCATCTCATACCAATTAAAATGTAATCTGAACTTGATAAAAACTTTACATTCACTTGGAACATTATACCATCACTAACTTCCACTAGGTGTACCAAAAACAAGGCATGGGGTGGGGAATCCAGATTTGTCCTCCAAAGACATTTTTCCTAGAAGTGATGGTTCTCAAAACTCAAAAATCAAAACCATGATGTTTTTCTTCTTGGTATGACGAGTTTTCTGCCACAGTAGACAGGGTCATTTCACTAACAACAAGAAGTGATCTACTTTTCCACAAAAAACCAAAGCCTTACTAGATAACAGGAAATTTGTTTGAAGGTACAACCAACCTTGGCAAATTTATGGAAGTCACGGAGCTTTGCTGTCAGACGCAGGCTACGAAGCTGGTCTCCATTTCCTCTATGGGACTTTCCAGGCCAGACTTCACGTAACATTTGAGAACTATAGTCTGTGATTTCTTTATGCCCTGAAGAAGATAATCTTGGAGCTGTTCTTTGTGACTCTGAATCACTGTAATCTGGTTGATGATCACTAAGGACCTGTTCCTTGCTAGCAGTAGGTGGGGATTGAGAACAAACATCTCCAGGAACAACAGGAGGAGAAGGTGACTCGGAATTAACACAATCCTCCTTGTCAAAGTCAGCTGACAATGTTTTGTTTATAATGCTCAAAAATTGTCTTAATAAGTTATCTAGTTTCTGGTGAAGTGTGAGTAAGAATATATGGAATCCCTGTAAATCCCTTAAAGCAGCACGGAAGCCACTACGAAATCCCTGCACAGCTAACGCCATTTCAGTAGAGTGTACATCAGTTGTGTTGTCACCATCTTCTAATGGAGGAATTCCTAATTTTCCTCCTGTTATATCATGTAGAAGATTAGCGGAGTAGTCAGAACAGTTGAGGAGTAACTCAACCAACTTTGGATAAACAGCATGATCATTTGCACGTTTGCCAGCAGGAGGTCGACGGGGTACACCTGAGTCTATAGCAACAATGTGAGAATCAGAAAGGGTTGATTCTCCAGATGCTCCACTTCTTAGGCTGTTTTCACTTGGGGATTCAGAGATTTCAGAAAGATTAGAGCTCTGCGATACCAGTAATGGACCATGAGAGCTAAATCTGCTATCTACTGAAGTTGACCTTCTTTCTTTTTGAAGAGCTCTAATGACCCTTGGTCGGTAGCGATAAATTGCAGAATCAAATGCTTCCTCCAAAGTATCTGTATTTGCAGAGGACATTTTGTCAGCCAACAACAAATTGGCAGGGTTTCCACGCCACCTTAGTTGACGGCAAGGAAGTCTATCTTCATTTCTGATGACAAGGTCTAACAACAAGACCCTGCCAAGAGCTGCTGCAGTTTTTTCTGCAGTTTCCTGTGACTCAAATGCACTTGAGCTTTCCAATAATGGAGACCCATGAACATAACTGGTGCACCCAAAAAAAGAAAAAAAAAAAAAGAAGAAGCTATTTAGAATGTTGATTATAAAACCAATTTAATTCTTGTAGGGATATCATAGATCCTTATCCAGCTGCTCTTGACTAATGGAAAGCAAAGCATATTATTGAATATGTCTAAGGTGAATACCATGTGCAAAAGATCCTAGATCAACAGAGAAAACAAACTCTTTCTAACATTTGAGGGCTTTTGATCAAACTTATACAGGCATATCATACTCTTAGTTACACTCTAATTCATTGGAATCAAGAGGCACAGACTCATAACTCTGAGCAATATTGATAACAAGAAAGAAGATCTGGCATTATTTTTTCAAATTTAGAATAATTAAGGTGCCCAATAAGCAAAAGATGTTATTGGTAAAAGGCACAATAAGATGCTAAAAGAAAATTTCCTAGAGTCAATGCTCCTCTGATCTATGGGCCTTCGTGCTAATATAGACATCTGGAGTGCACATCTGGTTATGTACAAAATTAATAAATTGCATGTTGCACAAAATGCCAGCAAGCACTGTTCAAGAAATATCTATGGGAGGACACCATATCATAACCATATCTTACATCTTATCTTAGGCCAGCCTTAAAGGCAAATTTGTTACCCAAAACAGAGAAGAATAAAAGGGAAGGAGGCAAGCAGATCTGGAAGTCGAACTAGTGTTATGTCACCAAGAATAATGAGAAAACCATGATCATGGTAGATTATCCTATAAAGGAGGGACAACCAGGGGTCAGCAATGGTAAGCATCGAAGGAAATCTCAAGCAGAAAGATTACATTCCCTCCTAAAAGAGTCTAGGAAAGCACAACAATGCTCTGACAAGGACAGATAGATTGAAGAAAAAAAATCTAAAGAGAGAGAGCACTGAGTCCAGTCAACTAACTCAAATGCTAGAAATACTCTCACTATTGAAGGGTTCAAATCACCTCAGATTAATGGCTTTTGCCACAGGCTAATTTCTGAAGACAATTATAGATAACCAGTAAAAAGTTGAATAAATATGCTATCAGATTATCAGATGGAAAATGCTAAGACGACTAAATCTGCTTTCATGTTATGACAACTCATTTCTCCATCAGATTTATTTATAAAGGGAAAAAGAAGACCAACAATAAACATTCCTGCTTTACCTCATTAGAAGAAGGCATCGGCTAAGTTCAAGAGCCTCCAGAAGTTCTGAACAAATGACTTCACCTACTTCATCTCCTTCTGAAGTTGCTCTAACTCTTGTTTTCTCTGCTGCTTCCTTGATTTGAAGCCACTCTGGGCTTGAAGTATGAATGACTCTAGCCTGTTCCAAAAGAACAATTTCTAATCAAAGGGGCTTCTAAGGGAAAAAAAGGGTAAAAGTGAAGTATTGAGCTGAACATTCAATGTAAGTTTAGAATTATGGCCCGAGGTGGCACAAATCACATGACTGCAGGAATATAAAACTATGACCTGAGGGGTTCGGACTCCTAGCCACCTCGCAAATTCATATCCAAGGCGTTCTGATTGTGTTGCCATCCTTGAAGATGAAAATTTTATAACAGCAGCCGCCTGATTTGGAGAAACATCACCAAGCCCAGGCTGGTTGAATAATGCAAAGAAAACAACTCCACCAGAATTTACGGTTACCTGAACACAGATAGTTATAACAATATGAGATAACAGTTAAGACTAAAAGCAGTTTTAAAAAGTAATTTCATCCGTGAAAAAGGCACAATTCTTCTCTCTTGCAATAAGGCTATGGTCTGAGCATAAAAAGAATGTCTCAGCTGAAAAAAAACTCTAGTAGTTCATTTCATGTATAAACACCTCCTACCATTGATACTTAGGACTTTCTCATGCTACTGAATAAACCAATTCCACTTTAGACACAGAAAACAATAGGATTAGAACCATGAAGGAAATAGTAAGGAAATAAATGACAGAAGGAAAGGCAAAAGGCCAGAAATAAGAGAAAATGTTAAAAGTGGCTTCCTTATATGCACCACTTTCACCTTATAATTCTGCAATGTGGCCATGAATTTGAAGAAGAGATATATCTATTTTTAAAATAGATCACACACCTCAAGGGCTTTATTTTGTTCGTCCTCAGAATGATCAGTGCTGCTGCTATGCTCAGCATGGTGAAGTGATGAAAGCATATCCCATGAAAAGGAGCTTGATTCGATGTCCAACATGGAAACTTTACCTAGTCTTTCCCGCAAACTAATTTCAGGAGCTTGCTCAGGGAGAAGATGACTCTTTGAATCAGCAGATGATTCTTCTGCACTGAATGACAATTGTGGTGACTACAATGTAACAAGAATCATGCCATCTATGAATGTCTGTTGCATCAATAACATTCAAAAACTGCAATCCCATTATCATGTCAAATACCAACACTAGGACCTACTTAGGGAACAACAAATATGATCAACACTGGGACTAAATACTGCTACCAAATGCAACAATTCCTGAGTTGAAAAATATTCACCAGTGATCAATAACTAGAGTGAAATAGAGCAATGTCAAACCTAGATGGCATATTATTGAGCCCGTGGGATTGTTGGAAGCCAGAAGATCCGTATCTCCCGCTTCTTTTACGAACAAGTTCCAACCATTGTGTGAGCCGATATGCCGGACCAGAAGTTATGTCTCCCAACATATACAATACCTGCATTACATTGATTTTCAAAATTTTTCTGCGACCCACTTTCCCATTTTTGCTTACTAGTAGATAGTTCCTACAAAGAAAAGGTAATCATTTTAACTCTTAAGTAGATGAATATGACACAAACTCACCCGGGAAGTGACTGTGAGGGGCAATGGAACCTCAGGCTCTTCAGATCCGAGGACGAGCTCTTTCTCTTCCACTTTGTCCTGTAACTCTTGCATATATAATTTATATTACGATCAAAGAATGAAACGCAAGTAAAATCCTCAGATCCCAACTCTAGGCTAGAAAACCACAAAGAGCGCGAAGTGCTTGTGGGTTTTATATAGGCACAATGATTTGGGTTAAGAACAGGCATACCTGGCCCTGGAGAGAGTTGATGATTGCTGCAGCAAGGTCTTCCTTTTGCTGTTTTGCCATTTGGGTTTTTTGCTTCTTTTGATTGGTTTTGATGACAGGATCAAAATAGAGAGAGATGGGGACGAGAGAAAAGCAGTTTGCCTTTTTTTAGAGAAATGGTGTGAAAAAATGGAAAAGAGAGAGTAGAAAATAAGGTAGAGATCCCCTTTTTTCCTGCAGGAGTGGGCGGTTGTAAATCACATCAAATTCAGTTCTTTCAAGTAGTTGCTACTGAAAAGGTGAAACTTCTCCGAGTACAAAGATGGAGGTGGAGATGATGTTACCCAACCCATCACTCAAAAAACCCCTTTATTTCGTCTTTTTCAGCCACACTCGGGAGGAATCATATCGCTGGCATTGGGCCATGGGGGTTGGGACTTTTCTCAATATAATATTAACATTGATTTTCCTTGACCCTAGTGATCCCTTGAATCCAGCATGGATTCTTCAAAAGAAATCCTGCATTTACAGATTGATTACTTTACTGCATCTTAATTTCTTCTAAAGCTTTGATCTTTGATATTGGCATTAAAGACAGGCCTAGGGGTTTCTCCATTGTTCTCTGAAATGGGTAAGTTTTTCTTGAGTGTCAAGGGATTTTCATAACAACCCACTAGTATCAACTAATTTGGTGGACAAAAGGACATCACTTAGGCATTATATGATTTTGTTCCCTATTTGCACACCTATTTACAAAAATTTTCTTTAACAGAGATGCATTACAATCCACAAAATCCAGATAAAGAATGGCACAGAATTTCACTTTTTATCAGAGAAGGGTGAGGAACGAGGATATGGCAGCTTGCTTGCAATCTCAGTTTATTTAGAAAGCTTCTGGTAGAGGTTTATTTTCCAGGAAAGATTTGAACAACATGAGTGATCTCTCCGGCTGCGAGAACGGAGCTTCATGAGAAGCACCTCTGATGGTGGCAAAGGAGAGGATGTTGCCATAGACTTGAGTCCACCCACCAACCTGAACAGAAAAGCAAGAAAATCCTATATATGGTTATGTGAAGTTAAGAACCTGTATATGATTCTCCGGCTTCAATTCAAGATAATTGCTTTCATTCTTAACAATTTTAAGATCAGTTTGATTTGATATCCACTTTCTAAGGTACGATTTTCTTGGCAAAGTGATGAAAAAAAGACAGCTGCATTTACCTGCTTTCCTTCAAACCAAACTCTATAAGGTACAGTAGTGTTCAGTCCTAACTCCTTCGCCAATCTACGCACCAAGTTTCGGCTTCCAGTCAATGGAATAACAGAATCTTGATCTCCACTGCAAGATTTATGAAACATTTGTAAGCCACAAAAACCTTCATTAATTCTATCAGGAATGAGATCTCATTTACCTGTAAACCAGGACTGGAATTCCTTCCCTGATGAGCGAGCCAACAATAGAGATTGTAGGTTTCTCCAGATCAAGAAGCTCATAATCCAGAATGCTGTCATCAAAATGACATTAGATTAACATAAGTTTTACAAAAATCCTGTTTCAGTACGTTAAGTTTCAACCCGTTTATGTAGAGACAAGTGAAGAATAAGGCCATTATGGTAGATTTTTTCATGTGGTGTTAGTGTCATTTCTGCTTTTGAATCAGTTTAATATTAAAATTTACGTCTTTAGCTTAGCCAAGAGGTCCTACTTGCTGCATACAGCCCAACTGGTAACTCCGACAAGGCGAGCATGGAGTGCTTTCTGCACATCTTTCCGGTTCAGATAATTCACAGTCTTGTCCTCCACACATACATCTATCTTCTCAGATACTTGCTGCGGAAGAAACAACCCATTTTGGCTTCAAATAACTAAGCCACCGTGAAAAAATAATGCACAAAACAAGTGTTCAAGGCAATTAGTCCTGGAAAGGGATTACCTGGGGACTAATAACCTTTGATTGTGAGAGCACTGATGGTATGCAGACATCAAGGGTAACATCATATTTGTCGACAAACCTACTGGTTTCTCTGCTCACTTGGCTCATCACCCTCGAACAAGCAGGTGAAACAGAGTCCCTATAATACTCGCTGACATACCGGGAATAGTTGCAGACGGAAGTGAACATTCTGTATGTTGAATCTGATATTAAGCCATGGGACCAGAAGTACTCAGCCCTTGAATTGAGGTCAGTGGCAAATTCCAGAACCGGGTTACCTAGCTGCAAAGGTTGAAATCCTGCTCTAGTAATTGAAGAATGCCACTGTATATACGTTGCACCAAAAAAAAAAAGGAGCCTTCAAACTATAGTACTCACTGCAATTCCTTTCAAATTGAATAGCTTCTGTTCTTTATTGATTTCAATCATAAGCTTTGCCAGTTGAGGAATATAATGGCCTGGCATTAGCAATCCAAAAATAGAAGATACATTAATATTTCTATCAAAATTACAAGATATGGAAGACATTGATTTTGTGTAGCAAAAATACCTGCATAGCTTTCTCCAGTAATGAACAAATCCCTGTTCCTGTAACCAGGGAACTTGTCATACCAACGTTGCAAGAATACAAGGTTGTCTCTGGCTTAAGAAGATGAAAGAAAAACATCCTTAGAAGATGTTGTCTTACCAGAAAATAAGTTAGTAACTTAGTATGCTTAGCTACTTTAGAGGTTTGAACCCCTGACATTGACCCAGAATCAAGGTTTTGAAGTCGACTCTAATGATGCTAGAGTCAATTCTTGTCAACAGTAACATCAAATTCCATCCCAATTGCACAAAAAAGTTTCAAGCAGTTTAAGACAAAACGGAAGATATATGAACTCAAAGACAAACTAACCTGTTGTCTTATCGTCAACTGCTACATAGGAAGAACTGTGAGTTGAATAAGAGAACCCAACTCCAATGGGTGTCTCTAAGTACAACATGTTTGCTTCTGCAATTCAAATCGGTCTTGAAAATATCATTTGAACTGCCAATTTCTAACAAATGGGAGATTGGAAAAACAAAAAGAGAACAAATTTTTTTGTAGTACCTCTGTTCCAACCATATTCATTTCTTACAAGAACTTTCCCATTTGGTCTGAATGGTCCATTTTCAGAGAATGCTCCAACTCCTAGTGAAGAACAACCCGGTCCTGTCCCGAAACAAAAATGTTAAGGCATCAAAGGCATCTCAGAATGTCTGAATTTCATCGATTTAAGAAAATGCAGACCTCCATTTAACCAGAGAACCAGGGGTTTGGAAGCTGGATCTTGTTCTGCTTCAACAAAGTAATAAAACAGAGATTTATCCTTCTCATCGTCCACAGTAACATAGCCTGAGAATTGCTGAAAACCCACATGGGGTTGGCCTGGAAGTTGAAGAATTTTATCAGAGAGAGACGATGAAGAAGAAGAAGAAGAAGGTGTGACCTTGGCAGAGATGAGGAGAAGCAGCAGCACTGATGCCATAGCCATGGTTTTTTAGAGAGTAATGCTTCAGTAGATGACAGAAGAATGAGGAGGGTGGGAGCACTAAATAAGTAGGCTACACTACACCTGCTTCTGTTCTTTTTTTTGGTACTAATCTCTATGTGTGGGGTAACTACAATTAGAATGAAGGGAGGTGAAACTTTATTGTTGGTGAGTTTTTTTTATTTATAAAATTTAAATTTAAAATTTTATTTAAAAAAAATCCAACTTTTTACCCATTCCAATTACCCATTCCAATAGTATTGCTACCTGCTTCTGTTCATTGTTCACTACAATTCTTGCTTTTCCCATTTTTTATCTTTTTAAAAATATTGTTGCATGCGGAGAAGAGATGTCTCATCAGATACTGTGCTGTTTAGTATAAATGTAGTAAATGGCGGGTAATAAGAAATGGATGGTTGATGAAAGATAACAAAAAGTGAATTGTAAGTAATAAATTGTGGATTTTGATTCGTGTAATTATTAGGTTAGATAAAAATCAATAATTGTTGTTTTATGTAAAATAACTATCAAAAGAATATTTAAAAGTAATTAATTATAAATATTTTTATATTTTTTATTATTAAAATTATTAATTTTATAAAATAATAATAATAAATATAATATAATATAAAAGAGTAAATTACACACTTATATCTATTTAATAAGGATAAAACAAAATTTTAAATTTTTTTACCTAATTAGCAAATCTTTTTTATTAAAATAGAGTTACAATACCAAGCAAATTTTGTTTATGAAGATAGAGTTAGAATATAATATGTTAGTGAAGTTTGCATTTATATTTTTAAATTTAAGTAATGCTATTAAAAATTCTTAATGTAGAGACAATCTATAATGTAGAAACAATTCCTTATTGAAAAACACATTTCTGTAAATATAAACTGGGGTATATTAGTTTTGTTGGTCTACCAAGGATAGGAGTTGATTTTTGAAAATTTGGGGGTTCAGAAAGGAGAATAGAGGAATGGAATGTGAGGGACCTGGGCCTCTGGGGTGCATTTGATTTGTTTACCAGAATTACAAATTATGTTGCTTCTGTTTTAATTCACAAGTATCACCTGTCTATTTATCCCTTTTGACCAGCAAACAAGATAGTGCATCTTCCACAGAAAGTAGCTTTTCAGGATTGCTTTCCTCATATCTCAGAAAAATTGACTGATAATTCAAAAGAATACTTCATTTCTCAATATTCCTGAGACGATATGACAGCATCTTGAGGGAACATTGGCAGGATTCTACTGAACAAACAGTGATTCAAAGTTCCTCTGCTCTTCTTTTCTTTATAAAAATATTTGCTGGATGGGTGGGTAACTTTTCTTGATCCACATGTACAATCCCAAAAAAAATATATATATATATATATATATTTTTTTTATTCGGTATTACAAGGGAAGAGAGATGGGCACAACAAAGATAAATCCCCCACTCGGTTTGAACACCGAACTTGTAAGGGCATGCATCCTAGGGGCAGGGTCAATTTAAGGGATGTATCATGAATGCTTCTACTTATGAAAAGATTTGGAGATTGACAAAAATGGAATATGCTTGGATTTTGTTTGGGAGTATTTCGATGTGTTGTTGTTATAGGCCTTTTTTTTTAAATTTATTATATTAAAACTATATAAAATTTTAATTAAAATAAATAAATAAATAAAAATTAATTAATAATGATAAATTTATATTTTAAATATGATGTTGCAAGAAAAGGATTGTAAGAAAAATGGTCAAATCAAGACTTAAAATTTTTACAATTTGAGTGGTGTATATGCCATCATTAATCATGTTTATTTATTTGAAAATAATCATTTAGTTGAAATAGTACCTAACTTTTTTTTTGGTTTCACAGTGAGAGATTATCTCTCATATTTATTAATTTAATTTATTTGTATGTCATATAAGTTAAATTTTTAATTTTTAATTTTTAACAAAAAAAATTATCATTGATTTATTTATAGTCATTGACAATGCTTAAATAATTTTCAAATCTTGATTATATAGTTAATGTAAAGGATTCACAATTGTATAATAGTTAAGTACTAACTTTCTTTGTTGAAAAATAGTAATAATAATAATAAGCATTTATGTAGAAAGGAATAGTAGTACCCAAAAGTTTAGTGGAGAGATGAGAATACATTATAAAAATATTCTTGGGGCAATTTCAACACAAATTTCTTTATGTGGTTAGAATTTGTTCGCATTGGAGTTCTAATAATAATAAGGTCTCCCACCAAATTGTGTGCTTCATTTTCATTTCCCAAGCATTGGACCACACATAGCACACATGTTCCCCATTATACGTTCGAAAACCATATAATGGCTCCGCATGGATCCCTTTTCCTTCCTTATTTAACCCAACAATTCAAAGTGATTGTCCATTTGATCAAGATTTTAGAACAATTTTTTACATGATCAACTTAAATATAAAATTACAAGAACTCTCAAAACTATATCAACTGGGAACCTAGAGACTAAGGCTCATCTACTCTCTTGGTCGGGTTTTCTTCAAGTTTTTATGAGTTGTATACTGTACTTAATTATTATAATTTGTATTATATACACTTGATACTCGTACTCCACATAAACTTTACATTAAAAAAGAAAAAGAAGGAAAGAGACCGTATGGTATTAATTCCTGTCAACGTGAGGGCCCAATATCACTCTCCAATTTAGTTTTCTAGTGTCCAGCCACCTACTTCGGTGCTATATTCTTGATACTAAATTCTAATATCATGCTAAGGCATTCAAACCGAATAAGCATTCAATTAATCAAACCCAAGAATGTGAAAAGGGGACTTCAACTAACCCATTAGGGGAAAATCAAGGGAACTGGATGCCATCAGGATAAAAACAAGGCGTTTTTAGTCGAATTGATCAATTAAGACTTGGACCACCCTGAGAAGTGAGGAGTGGGGTTTGTTTTGCTGGAAAAACAAAGGGGAAGATATGAATTATGGGGTGTGAAGAAACCAAGAAACAAACAAGAAAGGGACAAAACTCCTACTTTTGCTTCAATATTTTGTGCTCTCACCCTGCTTTCCAACTTGCAAAGTTGAAACTTGAAAGATATGGGACAGATTTTTGGTTAAAGGTTTCTTGATTTTCATCATTACCTTTTCTATGCCACTCTATTTCATCATTTCCGATTAAGCCAATTAAGCTAGTAAAAAGTTGTTTACATTTTAGGGTTAAACAAATATATTTTGTTTATTAAAGAAAAATGCATAGATTCTAAAGTTCCTTCAAAGATTGTTTGGTAGGAAGATTGATTGTTTCTTAGTCAAACCATGGGAATAAGGCAAATTAGAGAATCATCTTAGCCTATTAGGAATGGTTATTCCTTGCATCAATTTTGTTCTGATAAGATGAAAATAGTAGTGGTTGTTAAGAACACATGTCCAAAGTTTTAACTATTTCCTTTTAATTTCTACTAAAAGGAAAAACAGTAAATATAGGAAATAATTATTCTTTTCATACGATGCTACTCACAATTTTAGAATTTATTCAAAGAATCGCAATTTTCAAATTAGAAAAGCCAAACTTTGTTTTGCAAGTTTCAAAAATACTTTCATATCTATATATTTATAAGCAGAGATTTATTTATTTATTTATTTTTAAAGTAGATGGACATAATTTTCTTACTCCTTTGCAACTAAGGAGTATTTATTAAAAGGATGTTTTAAAACCTTTGTAACTAAGGAGATAAGTGAATTTTTACTAAGAATTTAATTTTTTTTTCTTTTTTTGGTAAATATTTTTTTTTTCAATTTACTGAAATATTTACTAAAATTTATGTATGCAAATCTCTACTTCCCAAAACACCAAAAAAAAAAAGGGGGTGAGGAAAAGGAAAGCATAGGAGTGGGGAATTGTGTACAAGTATAAAAATCAAAGATAATTTTTGGCTTTTCAACTCACTCGGAAGTTGGAATCAGAGCAAGGCAGGCTCGCCACTTCACCTTTATGGTTTTCATGCCGAGCCTACTTACATGATTCAAACTAGGCAAATTTTAATGTTAGTTTTGTTGCATATATAAAGAAAAGTTCACAGAAAAAAGCCTACCGATCTAGTAGCCCGACAGCTTATTGTAAACCTTATTCATCATGGCAAAAGTTTAATCTCCCTCCGCACCCCCCTCCCCCCAAACCACTTGCCCTAATAAAAAAAAAAAAAATTCATAAACCTTTTGTATTTTAAGGTAAATAAAGCTTCAAAGTGTCGATTATAAAAATAAATATTCAAAGCTAATATTCAACTGTATGATGTGAGGACATGTGACCATCCTTCAAGACCACCTATAAGTTTCAAGCAAATGGCAAGGTAAGCGCACGCGCAAGTGCCGACTTTAACCATAGCATCAATGAAGGATTCATTGATGGCACAAAAATAGATTAATTGGGGCAACAAAATAATTGCTCATGCTATTCCTACTTGATAACAATCAAGGACGTTCCATATGAGGCCATCATTTTGCATTGGCCTCAGTGTTGAATAAAAACATTTTATAATAATGAGTTTTTGTGAATGACTTAAATAATTTAATCATAATTTTTTATTAAAAATAAAAAATTTTCAATTTAATTCATATAATATGTGAATGAATTGAATTAAGAAGTATAAAATAATTATTTTTCATTAAGCAACTCAAAGTTTTTAATTTTAGAGAATTTGCCTCTCATCCAATAATATAAAAAATTTGAGTTGTACAATACATTTTCATTCATATAAATGCTGAATGAATAAGGCATTCGAATCTCACCCTTTCCTCCTAAACTTGGAAGAATAGAATGCAAATATTGCAGCAGCAAACAGAGGATTTTAGTATTGGAATGAAATAACTGTAACTGTAACACCAAATGTTACATAGAAGAAACCAAACTATTGAGATTTCATTTTCACAAGCTTGAAAAAATTAATATGAAAAAAAAAAATGAAGTAGAAGAAAATATACACCATCCAAAAATTGACACCAAGCAACATTCGTGGAGAGAGACAGAGAGTACAAATAAATCATGAAGATGACTCTGAATCAATGGAAAGTTTACGATTAGTGAGTGATGTAGAAGGTGATACGTCGATTTCTTTCCGAGATGCTTCCCATAGTAGCTGTTCTATTCCCAACTTCCTTAACTCAAACAAACCTCGATCAACTGTCAGCACAGGATATAGTGGGTTAACTATGCTACTGAGGAGAAATCACAGCTGCACATGTTATATTCTATCTTTATGTCTCTTCTAGCATGATTGAGATATGTATAATGGTGTCACTTTTTTCATGGTTCTGATTTTTGGACGAAGAAAGGGTGAGCTTACCATCAACTCCATCGTGTGAAGTAGGCGACTGCCTGCTCCGGCTGATCCAGAACTGAAGCCGCTCTTCTGCAATATCCTCTTCCACACCATGTGCTTTGGCTCTTCTCCAGAAATATGTCAGCCAGGCCTGTTGATGTTATACATGCAAAATAAAATAAAATAAAAAACAATGAAGTAATGACACCTACTATAGCCCGCCTATCTTTTAGATATGAAAACCAAGTCATTGAACAATGCCTAAAATAGGAAGATTCAAGTGGGGCAAGCTGCGGACTAGCATCCCCCATTCACAATTTTATGCTGGAGGGTCATAACACAGACAACATACAAATATTTATCTGAAGAAAAGGCTAACCTCTTTGAAAAGAACATCTTCTGCCTCCTCTTCACTTAATTCTGCATTTGAGGGCAACAGATCAATAAAAACACAATAAACCAGTAAACCAGTATCTTTCAATGTAATTAGCAAACCCAACGTCAAGGAATACCCCAAAATACAATAGTAAATGATGGCAGAAGAGAGTTTCCGTCTTACCAAAGACCTCCACAGGCTTAGGTGCCCCTGGTGATTTGGAATCTGAAAAATAAAAAATAAAA